CTTTGAACCCAAATACCTGTACTTTCTACTTCTTACATGTTGAACTCAAATACCTGTACTTTCTACTTCTTACATGTTGAACCCAAATACCTGTACTTTCTACTTCTTACATGTTGAACTCAAATACCTGTACTTTCTACTTCTTACATGTTGAACTCAAATACCTGTACTTTCTACTTCTTACATTGTTGAACTCAAATACCTGAACTTTCTACTTCTTACATGTTGAACTCAAATACCTGTACTTTCTACTTCTTACATGTTGAACTCAAATACCTGTACTTTCTACTTCTTACATGTTGAACTCAAATACCTGTACTTTCTACTTCTTACATGTTGAACACAAATACCTGTACTTTCTACTTCTCTCATTTTCCAAACAGGCTGGTTCCTTTAGTCTGAATGTGTGTTTGGTGGCGTGATCATTATTATTTAGAGTCATTGCGTGCCTATTGATTTGAACACGATCCGTGTATCCATCATTTCCTGGTCTTCTCTAAAGAAGAGGGACCAATGGAAACGTTGTCATGTTGCCGTTGTTCAGCATGGAAACATTCATTAGCTAACAATGACATTATTGTTCTATTAATATAAAGGGAGGTCAGGTACTCTTTAAAACAGCTGCTAGTTATGGCTACTTTTTACTGAAGTACATTTCAAAGCCTCTTTACTTTGACTTGAGTAAAGAAGTTTAGTCAGTACTTCTACTTTTATCACAGTACTTCTACTTGAGTAAAGGATGTGTGTACTTTTGCCATCTCTGTTGAACTGTCCCTTTAAAGAGGAAAGTACCTTCACAGAGAGGGTGTTAGCCACGATGCCGTCCACCGTGTTTTCTGCAAAAGGGTCGAAGTGTTTGTCCGGTCGTCTCATGAACTCCGGCTTCAGTCTGTAGCCGCTGCGACCGTTATACTCAAACATGAAGAGATTCAGCTGCATGGACAAATCTGGAACAAAAAGACAATATTAAGCTAAGTACAAACCTTTCGCAATGCGGTTAAATAAATCAGTAAAAAATAAGAGTTACAATATAAGTGTATATATGAGCTATCAGTCCAAAAGAGCAGTAAAATACATCATTTTAGCATCCCACCCATAGCTGCTTGAATTCCGAGTTTTGATGCTTTGAATTTATGAAATTCTTGAAAAGCTTAAATCAATTGAACTTGTACTGATTTTGGATGCATTTTGGGTTGAGTTTGCAAACGAAATTAAGTGCAGTGTTTGCAATGTCCTTTCATCTTAATTGCAAGTGGTAAAATACGTAATAAGTATATTGAAGTATTGTTGATACATTTTATAACACTGGCTATGTTTCACTACGGTTCAAGATACCTACTTGCCCCTATACACATTGTTATATCAATTAGTGATCAGATAACAACAATAGACTTAATTAATATTAAAAGTCATGTTTAATCTTCATCAAAGTAAATGTCTAGATTTAGTTGCCTGAAAATACTTTGAATTATTCAGGGAACTCTTGTTCGCAGAGGTAAGGTTAATACATCTGGTCGTTTATTATAAGCATTCTTCTAATGTGTCTTATATAATATATTGTAGGGCCATACCTATACAAAACATGTCTGTGAAGTTTTTTGCTTAAAATACCAAACAGATCACCCATTAAGCGCTTTCACACCAAGTACTTTGCCGTACTTAGTTCCCAGTACTTAGTTCATCGGAACTCTTTAGTTCACACCGGCATAAGTCCCTGGGGAAGGATTAGGCAAATGAAGCCGTCACTTCTTCTTCTTCTGCTTTGGGTTTACTGGCACGGCGTATACTGCCACCCGAAGTCCCCGGCCGGAAGTCCCCGGAGTTGGGGACTGGCTTCAGTAGAAGCTGCTGGGACTCCCAGCTTCTTCTACTTTTCAAAAAAAAAAGAGGAGGCGGAGCTAATGCCTGATCAGAATTCTACCGGAGATAAAGTTAAATTCTGCTGTGATAAAACGCCATCCTGTTCTAAACCACACCAAGGATTATTTCTGAAACAGTATGGAGCTCAAATGCTTTTTCTCTTGTGGGTTTATCACAAGGTGAGTTCCTTTTTTTATTTCCTCATTTTTAAACACATGTGCTCTCCAGTACAGGTTAGCTCTGAGTGTTAGCGAGGCTAATGTAAACAAAGACGAGATTACGTCCAAAACACGTCAGGCATTGTTTCTGATAGCAACTCTCTGTGGGTCCGTCGCCGATTTGACGTCATATCGGCAGCAAATCTGTATCCCCTCGTTGTACCCCCGTTTTTAGAGATTTGGGTACGGAGGAAAAGAGAAAGGGTTTTATTTTCTGACGCTGCGTGAGTTCCCTGACGCACCGAGGACACATGTTTATGTATAAAAGACATTTTGCATGATAGGCCCCCTTTAATGTGTTTTCTACCTTCCACAGGATTACTGATGGGAATGAGTATCTCTTCCAAGCCAAAGACGAGGTACGTTTTACATTGTTTTGTATTTTCATGGTTATTATTTTTATTTTTAAGGTGATAACCATGTCTTCCTTCTCCAATAATAATGATTGTTAAATGGGCTAAATTAGTCTCATCATTACTGTAAAACCCTAATTGTTACTCACATTATTTTTCTTATTTTTAACTGGAATATTTGTTTTATGTTATTTGGTAGTTGTAATTTAGTCGTATGGAAAAATACAAGTAATTATGTTTGTCTTTTAGTTTGTAAAATATTGTAATTAAATTTGAATTGTGATAACTGATAACAAATACTATACAGGATTTAATTAACAGATACAATATCCACACACCTAACCGCCCCCCTCTCTCTCCCCCAGGAGGAGATGAGCACGTGGATATCTGCCATCGCGTCGGCCATGACGGTTGAGAGTTCGGAGGTCACGCCCAGCAGCACCAGCACGCCCGCACCCCCCGCACGCGCTCAGACGCTGCCCGCCTCCGTCGCCACGGTGACCGCCGCCACCACCGCAGAGTCCAGCCCGGGGAAACGAGAGAAAGACAAGGAGAAGCGCTTCAGTCTGTTCAGCAAGAAGAAATAGATGCTCCTACTTCCTAAGTCCTACTTCCTACTTCCTTCTCTTTCCTCCTCTTCCTTCCTCTGGTGCTGTTTGGGGTTCCTTCTCATTATCCTTCAATCAAATATTCGTGGAAGATATTAGAGATTAGGTCGTGGCAACTGATTAAAACTATTATAATAATTGCAAGGGTGTAATGTCTGTTAATGTAATATCAAATAATAAGGAAAAACATGCTTACTCGTTCATCCGAACACTTACTAGATATATGATATATATAAGATATATATACAGTTTGGGTTCGCTCTTCATTTTCGATATGTCAAATATTTGTTGAAGATTTCCCTGTAAATCTGTACAAATTTGGATTTTGGCAACTAGATATATAACTAACCAAAAATGTAATTAAATTGAAATATAATGTAAGGTATGTGAATGTAATAACATCAAATGATGACGAAGAAAACATGCTTTATTAAAATGTAACTCATGGATGTAAACACTTCCTACAGCAGTTACAGTAACAGCAGTTGCTACGTCAACTAAAATCCCAAACAGCCTCTCCTCCTCTTCCTCCTCCTCCTCTTCCTCTCTGAAAGCGTGACTCCAGCATGCAAGCTCCGAGCCAAAACTCTCCACTCTGTGCCTAACAACCGTCGGTCCGGCTCAGAGCGACAGCTACAACACACACACACCTGTATCCTCGGTTCACTTTTTGTAAGATATGGAGCAGGATTAAAAAAAAAAAAGGAAATGCATAAAGATTGGATTGAAGGAAACCTAATTTAAAAATCAAAAAGGGGTCTGCAAACGCTGCTGTCATAAAGATACAAACCAGAGTTTGCCGCTGAACAACAACACTTGAGAGGAGTTCCCAGAATATTCCTGTTTTATTATTCTTAATGCTATTATTTGTGTTTCCTATCTCCTCTCCGCTTTCTCATCACTCCCGGCTTTTCGTCGACTACTGCCTTGTGTGGGTTGTGTTTACGCTCCAAGCTCGTCTTTGTTTTTTTCTTTTGGGAAGTTGTAGGTAGTTCCTGTTTTAGGCTCCATCCTCAGTTTTTGCGAGGCCTTGTCTTTGCAAGATGACGTGTATCCCTCTGTCGTGGGGAAAGCTGAGACCACAGCGGGGTAAACCTCTGAAATTACACCTCTTTTTTTCAACTGAAATGTCCAAAATTATGTAAAGATATCCAACACATGCTGACAGTTAAACGCTATTTGAAGTATAAAACAAAAGGTGCACTAAATTGAATTTTGTGCACTGAGTAATTGAGCTTTTCCTTTGGTTAAATGTGTGCAATAAACCTGTGAAAAGCGAATTATCATCGTTGTGCTCTGGTGCTGTCTATTTCCTGCAGACAGAAAAAGAAATGGCTGTAATTTAGAGCGTTACCCTGCGGTGCTTTGAACTGTATGTATAACTTGTGTATAACAAACTGTTAAAAAAATAAACCTGTGTTTTAATTCCACCTATATTTACTACTAATAAGACCTACCAACCGTAATAAGCTTAGTATAACTTTCTTTACCTAAAAGATCTTAATGTACACTAAACCAATCTGAATGAAGGAGAATAAATAACAAAGACCAGTAAGATTGTTTGACTTTAATTAAGGTTTATTTTCTACATTTGTGTCATTTATTTCCTCCATGTTTTTGTTTCCTCCAGTACAGTATGTGTTTTCTGTTCCACACTTACTGTAAGCTAAGGATTATTTAGTAAGGAGACGTAGATGTATTATTATATAAAAACAGAGATTACTTTAAGCATTGCTGTTAAGTGGACAAGTTGGTTCTTTTATAAAAAGCATTTACTGGAAGTGAGTAATGTTGCAGAATAATGGTCGCTTGCTTGTTGGCTTCAGCACTCCCTTTTTAATATTTTGATTTCAGACTTTGCTGCCAAGGAAGTGAAAACTGGTGGCTTTTATATGGAAGTTATTTAATGACAAAATTAACAGCAAAAAATTGCACTTGAGGATCGAAAGCATGTAGGTTTGTTAGCATGAAAACTATTTTTAAGGACAGAATTTTGACACTTCAGCCTTCCTGTCGCATGTTATCTTTCAATTTGCATGCTTTAGTTTGTTTACATGCGTGCAAAAACACTCAAATGAGTCATAATATCAAGTTTAAATCCTCGAAAGTGAACGCTTTGAGAGGATGTATGCCTCTAATCAATGGTTTGATGATTGAATGTAAATCTAAGTTAGCCAAATCTACGACAGTTTAAAGTGGACGTATTTTCCTAAGGGAATAATCCACTTGTTGCTAAATCTGCTATCAGAAAAGGTGATTTCAAATGAATCTAAATCCAACATCTTGATTAAATCTTGAATTTGTTTTGTGCTCACTTGTAATCGTGTCTTTAATTAACTTCCATACAAACAGAAAAAGTAGGAGCAAAACAGCAGGAAAGAACCCCAGAGTGTGATGAAAGGTGGGTGCGTTTGTTTTCCCCACCATGCTGGTGGTTGGTGAAACACCCGAAAGTAAAAACGTTTCGCGCGGTGATTTGTCTCGTTTTATTTTTAATTTTTGCTTCATTCTCTGGCAGTATGATCAATATAGTGTGCATTCCTCTGTCACTGTAATCATAGATATTTCTTCATATTGCACAATCAATAATGCCACAGTGGGTGGGTGGGGGGATGGGGCGTGGGCGGGTTTTTTTTAGGTGAGATTTAGTCTGTGTATTGTGGACCAGGGGTCACTGCTAGTTGGATCTGCACCCATAGACTTCTCCCCGTCTGTTACATATGTGCAAAAAGCCATTAAAATGCTTTTAAAACGAAACCAAGTGTTTTTTTTCTCTAGTGTGTGTGTATATATAATGTAAATGTAAAAATACACAGTTTCGAATAAAAGTCATGCATTATGACCCTCACTCCCAGCCTGCTGTGAGATAAATCTGAAGTTGTAAATGTTACTGCTGGTTGGAGGCGTGTTGGACGTCATGCACCCTCTCACACACACACACACACACACACACACACACACACACACACACACACACACACACACACACACACACACAGGCTGTCAGAGGACCTGCAGGCGCATCATCATCACCTGACTACCTGAGAGCCGCTAATACAGAGGTGTGTGTGTGCGTGTATTTTGGAGGCCGTTATTGATAATATCATAGCAACATGTCCATGTGCCAGGCTAACACACAGAACTACATTTCAAAAGCTTTTTGTTGTTGCTAAAGGTAAAATTCAAGCCATTTCAGAATGAAAATGCTTACATAACATGTCCTTTATTACATTTAACCTGTTGTGGAAACATTTCTTGATCAAATTGATATGAAACAAATAAGATGAATACATCGTTATTTGTCAGAAATGTGGTCTATTTAGTGTAAATTAATTTTCCCAAAAGTAGAAATGGGTCCGGGATGTTATGGGTTAAAAAGGGAAAATACATGTTCCCAGAGTTACTTAGAAAGGAGGACTGTAGCAGAAATGTTTGGTGCAGTACAAACTAAATGCAGACATCAGATAATCAAAGTGAGTGTCTGTGATTTATTTAGAACAGACGTCACTTTAACTAAACAACAAATTACTCAGCAGGGATTTGCCAGGATTACAAACTTCATGCAAAGAGTTTTTAATTAAAATGCTTTTACTTCCATGATTATAACTGCAAAGAGACAAAGTGTGAACAACATCATAAATCATTTTCATGTGCAGATATTAAAATGTAGTCAGATGAAGTCACTTGATGTTAATAGTGTTGTACAGTTTTTATTTCTTAGTTATATTTCAGGTGTACTTCTGTGTTTTGGCCACAAGATGGTGCAACAAGAGCAGTAGATCACAGATAGCTTATGTGTATGAGTGGAAGTGATAAAGATTATACATTCTAGATTAATTTAAGAGGCTAAAATCTGCATTTTTTTTACATAAAATACATGAAAGATGAATGTTTTTCATAGTAAATATCCCTTTCAAACAATTAATCAAACGGGAACACCCCTCAGTTAGTGTATGAAGTTTAGTTTCTGTGCAGTCAGGACTTCCTGTTATTAAATCCTCCCACTGAGAGTCTTACAGGTTTGTTTACAGCTCTGTTGGGTGTGATTATTATACCTGAAGTAAACATAACAACAAAAGATGCAAAATCATCCCCCAGGTGGTCCATCACCTGATCCTCTGCAGGGATCCATTTACACTTCAGTCAGCAGAGTTTCAGAGAAAGGCTTTGTTGGGGAAGTATTTTCCAAGGCCCATAACTTTGACCCAGTTGATCAGTTCATACTGTCCTGACTGAGCACACCTGTAACCTTGGCTGCTTTGCTCTCAGTGTTCTTTCTCCCTGTTCCTGCCTGTTGGCGTCAGCTGATAGAGGTGTTGTGCTTCTATCTTGTTATGCACAATGTGGATTATTCTCTCTGAACTAGCTAAATACACGGGTCTGGGTAGAGATCCTCAGAATTGGTTTGGAATCCGTTGTGTCAGATCGTGGCTCGTGACCTGTCTTGTGAATTCTCCGGCCGAAGCTCCAAATAAACAGTCAGTGTTTGCCATCAAAGCTCCAGCTCTCCTCCTGTCTCTCTTTGAGTCCTGACTCCAATTGCTTCAGAAGATTCCCCACAGGCATATTATTAGATTTTCAATATCGTGCAACCATTAAAAGCAAACACAACCAAAGATGTAAATGAAAAAACCTCAGACGTCTGTTGTGTTTATAGTTTCAACTGTGGGAACAATATTATGATAATATAATATTTGTAATCTTTATTTATATAAAAACCAGGAAAACAAATTGATCCCAAAATAAAACCATTAATACCAAATCGCTCTCTGATAAAAGAACAGAAGAAGCAGTGATAGGTATTTTAGGTTTTATTTTTTAGTAGTGGATATATGTAAAGTTATGGCTTTTAGCAATTATACTATAATCCTAACTTTAATAAACTAATTGGCATTTACATTAAACATAAGTTGTTTACCTAACTCATATTGAAACTGTCTCTCTCCCAGTTTCCCAGTTCAGCACCAAAGACAGCTCCTCCACCTCTGTTGCCGGTATTTGTAGTTTTTCCTTCCTCGCGGATTTTCTCAATGATAAAAACACATATAATAGTGAATGGGAAAAACACAAAGTCCCACAATGCTTTGCGGCCATGCGTCCTCTCCAGCGGAGCGGGGTGTTTTCTCTCTGTGCGTCATGGTTAATGAGCCCGAGCTGCATTAAGAGCGAGACAAATCAATACAATTCGACCGGAAGTGCACAAATAAGACCATCAAAATAAAATTTAATAAATTATGAGCTCAAATTAAATGCATTTTTCTAGTGTGTTGAACTGGAATAAACGATAAATAGGGAGAAGTATTATAAAGTAAGAACGTAAATATAGCAGCAAATTATTAGTGTTAAAGGGGGCCTATCATGCAAAATGCACTTTGTGATGTCTTTTATACATAACTATGTGCTCCCGGTGTGTCGGGAAACTTACGCACCGTCAGAAAATAAAACCCTTTCTCTTTCCCTCCGTACCCACATCTTTTAAAAAGGGGGTACAACGTGCGGATACAGATTTGCTGCCGATATGACGTCATATCGGCAACGGACCCACAGAGAGTTGCTATCAGAAACAATGCCTGACGTGTTTTGGGACGTAATCTCGTCTTTGTTTACATTAGCAAGGCTCGCTAACACTCAGAGCTAACCTGTACTGGAGAGCACAGGTGTTTAAAAAGCACGAAATTAAAAAAGGAACTCACCTTGTGATAAACCCGCAAGAGAAAAAGCATTTGAGCTCCATACTGTTTCAGAAATAATCCTTGATGTGGTTTAGAACAGGATGTTGCCTCAACTGAGCCGAAAAATGCGGCGCACCTATGCACTTATGCGGCGCAATTAGTGTGGCCCCACCCCCGACGCTCGCAAAACAGAGGGCCCCATCATATAACTTTGCGTGGGGCCTCATGTTGGCCAGGGACGGCCCTGAGTGTGAGGCATGGCTACAATGGGTGATCTGTTTGGTATTTGAAGCAAAAAACTTCACAGACATGTTTTGTATAGGTATGGCCCTACAATATATGTTTATAATATAGCATGATAGGTCCACTTTAACGCTTTTACTTAAAAACAGTGAATTAAAGTTTGAAGCAAAATATATTTAAATGATCAAAGGTAGGCCTAGTCATTGTGCAGAATTATGATTTTAAAAAATGTATTATAGAATATAATAAATACTATAGAGCAAAGTAAAAGTAGTTCATAACTAACCTTAAGCACAGCACCTAAGCAATTATACGTAGTTACATGAAACAACAATGAGAAAAAACGTAGACAGTAGCCTATGTACTTCATCGTGCAGCACTACACCCTTCTCATTCAAGAGGCTTTTATTTTGAAGTGTTTGCACCGGAAACGCGATCTGACAATCAGCCGTGTGTTAAATTGATGCTCCTGCTTGTCTGTCCGAAAACGAGCGATAAAACATCACAGTGGAGGGACTCGGCGGTCAGGGAGGGTCTTTATTCGGCGGGTTAAATCCGGGTTCCTGTCTACCTGCAGCCTGTCTGTCCACCTGTCTGTCCACCTGTCTGTCTGTCTGTCTGCAGAGAGCTCCAGCTGCAGCGGGAGGATGCTCTCCTCCTGCCGGGAATCAGGACCATCCTCTCCCATCCTCCGGCCGGAATGCAGCGCTCGGATCCCGGGTTCTCTCCCCTCCTCTGCCCGCTGAAGTTGGATCATCCGCGGGGATTAAACTCTCGCTTTTGTCGCTATCTCTCAACCCCCTCTTTCCCATCGGCTGTCTCCGGAACTGCCCGAACACTTCACTGAGGAAATAATCCCTTTTTTTATTTCCGATTCTGGATCAGATTACCCACCCTTTTGCTCCTGACTCTGGAGGATTTTTTTTACTCACTTGCAGATTTGTGAATGGGTTTTTCCTCCACAATAAAACACACCCGGGCTGTAGTAACCCTGGCTGGGGCTGAGGTCCAGGATTAGTGTGGGGAGGGATTATAATTTCAATCATCCATCAATTGTGCTGTTTTTTTTTATAGTTTTTCACGGAATATTCGCTTTTTTTCTGCATTTTCTATTTCCTTTTTGAGCAGTAAATATGGTGTCTACAGATGATGCAAAGTCTGCAGACTGTGGCAGAAATTATAAATGAGAAAACTATAGTTACCCTACAAAAAGAGTTCCTTTCATTTCTTAATTATAGCTGTTAAATAACATAAGGCATGATGGAGTTGTAATAAACCCACTGTTTAAAATCTAGGGTGCAATAAAAACATAATTAGTCCCTTAAGGAATATTAAAGCAAATTGCACTCAGACAACAGGAGGTGATAAAAAATGTTTTAGGTTCAGCAGGAAGTCTCTGCAGGACTATAACTGAGCTGCAGCCCTGAGGAGGAAGATGAGGAAGAAGATGGAGAGCCTGTTATTTTGAGATATCTTATTCAGCTGCTGGATGCAAAACTATGGATATACTACAGACCAGAGATGGGAAATGACCAGTAAGTACTGAAATATCTTTAAAATATTACAGATACACACAAGAATCAAGTGTTTATGTAGTGAAATTGTATTAAAATGTAACTCTGAATTGATTAATGTATCATCACGGACACAAAATAACCTTAAGATGTTCAATTTAAAATGTCTTATTCTGATTGCTTCAGACAGAATATAATTGAGTTGAAATGTAATTATTGGGCACATGACAAAATGATGGCAACAAAGGAAATAAATATGAAGAATAGAACAAATTAACCTGTTTTACACTAACCTTAAAAACCAATGGCTACAGTAACCTTGACTACA